GCGCCTCCCGGTCACTACAACAACGGCGGCCCAATCAAACCCCGCGCTCCAGGCGTGGCCAGACGAGCCCCGAGTCTCTGTCCGCGCCGAGGACTGCGGGCCCCCTGTCGCCGGGCGGGCCGCTCCGGGACCGAGTGCTGCCACACACTAAAGCCAACGTTTATTAGGCAACCACTTTTATTAACGCCAGCGTTCTCCCGGGTTTGATGCTAGGAAGGGGATAGTAACCAGGTCCGGAATGAGAACGAACGAAAAAGGAAAGGGGCTGTGAGCCTTCTATCGATGCAATCAGTGTTCTATTACACGTTAAAGAGACCGCGCGCGCCCACGGGTTTCCAACTCGTCCCCTACAGCTTGTTATGACAGGAGAGGGAGCTTTGATATGAAGAGGAGCAGCTTGCTAGGTATTAGGATAGTCCGAGTATCTAAATCCCTGGAGGACAGATTTGAAGTAGTTTAATCACATTTCTCCACCCGCAGTGCCCTACGAGAGATCCCGAAACCGGACACCTGTGATGTTCATCCATTTTAGTGTTTTCCTGCTGTTTGTGTCTATTCTCATCTGCTCGTTTGTGTATGTTTAGAATAATAAAATTACACATACTTAAAGTCTTTAATGGCTTAGTAGCGTGTTTTTTTGGTTTCAGTTACTAGACCACATAGTAACTATAACAATTTCTACAGTAAGTTTTCGTACACAAAGTATGTACTTCAGCAACATTATGAAGTCGGCACAGTTACAAAATGTTACCAATGTTAGCAAATTTGAAACTTTATTCTTAGATATTGATCTTATAGGCCATACGGAGATAGCTCTTAGTACGTACCTTTAAAAAAAAAAACCTGCCTCAAAGGATAAAGGGTACAGCTGAAAATTATAGAACAAAGATTCTTGGCAAAAAAAAAAAAAAATGACATGATAGACCATGATAAGGTACATATTCTGTGCAAACAAAAGGCATGCTACATGCTTTAATTACAGTTCTCTTAACTGGTTGCGTAGTGACTGAGTTTAGCGATTAAACAGGTAGAAAATGGCTTTAGATTGCAAAACAGTACTAGTTTAATTCAAGAATGTTTGTTAAATATTTGCTGTATGTTCAACCTTGAGGAATACAAGTATGACTGAAATATTTTCACTGACCTAAAAAACTCAACAGTCCAGGTTGATGAATCTCACTCATATTTTAGTACGTGTAATGCTGATATAGGGCTCTATTGTCAGAGATGCTGATAGAGCATATATGGAGTGAAATCTAGGGCTCTGCACATGTAACAAGCTCCCTAGATTATTGCTGTGTTAGTGTCAGCTATAATGGTAAGAAACATTACTCTAATCTTTGAGATGATGAGGCATGTGCCTAGAGCATTGATACAGAGAACACTTGCTTAGCATATACAGGCCCTGGGTTTGATCACCAGTACCAAAAAAAAAAAAAAAAAAAAAAAAGAAGAAGAAGAAAAGAAAAGAAAAAGAAAGCAAAGAAAAGTGACTTGATATCAGCAACCTCTCAGTTGGCAGGACTCTAAGCATTGCTGCTTATTCCAGTCTAGTTTTAAAAAAAAATACCTGATATGCTTAAAAAGGTTAGACGCTGTCAGGAATGTAAAATAGCATAGAACTGTGGAAAACTGAATTTGAAAGTTCCTCAAAAAGTTAATCATATTATGGACAACTGTAATCCCAGCCACTGGGAGACTGAAGCAGAAAGATCACAAGTTGACCAGCTCAGCGACTTAGTGAGATCCTGTCTCAAAATTTTAAAAATGTAAAAAGAACTGGGGATGTAGTTCAGTATTAAATAACCCTTGGGTTTAACCCCCAGTTAAAAAAAAGTCAATGAAAGAATTATTTATGATCCAGCAATTTCACTGGTAGTATATCCCATAAGTATTCAAAGCAGGGGATCCAACAAATAGTTTGTAAACTAATGTCTGAGGCAGCATTTTAAAATGATAACACAAAAGGAAAAATCACTAAGTAGTATCCAACAGATGAATGGGTAAACAAAATGTGATATATACTTATGGGGAATATTATTCAGCCATAAAATGAAGTTATGCTATATATTATCACAATTGGTGAACCTTAAAAACATGTTAAATAAGCCAGGCACCAAGGAACATATATGATTCCATTTAATAAGTTCCCCTAGAATATATGGTTTTATAGAGGCAAAAAAAAAAAAATAGAACAGAGGTTACCAGGGATTAGGGGTAAAGAAGAATTAGGAGTTACTTTTTTAATGGTGTAGGTTTCTGTTTGGGATAATGAAGTTTTTGAAACAGTGAAGATGTTTGCACACTGTAAATGTGCTTAATGCTAGCAAATTGTACACTTAAAATGATTAGAGTGTTAAGTTATATTTCATGCATGTTTCACCATGATAAAACAGTAGCAATGCTGGAAACTGAAGAGTAATCAAGATCTCAGGATTTCTCCACAGCCATGATATGTTTACCACTGGGTACAACAGAGTAAGAGGAAAAGGAAGAAACAATTGAAATTATCTGAGAGAGAGAGAGAGAGAGAGAGAGAGAGAGAGAGAGAGAGAGAGAGAGAGAGAGAGAGAGAAATAGAGATAGATAGAGAGAATTTAAGAATAGATATTTCTCTAAATGTTTTTTTTTGAATTAAAAAAATAAATGTTTCTTTTTAAGATAGTAAATAATGAAGAAGAGATAGAACATATGAAAGAACATTTACATATTCATTGTAAAACATCTGTATATCCACTGTAGTTATTCAACGGTTTTTTGTTGAGTCCCTGTTATATCAGTTATCTACTGCTACAATAATGCTAACAAACAACCATAAGATCTCAGTGGTATATAACAATAAATCATCTTTAGTTCATTAGTAAAGCAAAGCAAAGCATATGTTTTTAGTTGAACAGATGAGAAGAAAGGAATTACTTATTGTCCTATCGCTTAGAGTTAACCTTAAAAAGTTTATCATATACCTATGATGTCCATGGTACATACTTTTCTAAGTATCTCATACATACATTCCACACAATTATCTCATTGGAGAGGTTCTGTTATTTCAGTTTTCATTTTACAGGTGAAAAAATTCATATGCAGAGACATTAAGTTACTTAGCATACAACTAAAAAGTGGCAGCATTGACAATTTTAGACACTTAGCAATTTGTCCCCCAAATCTACTCTTTTTTTTTTAATGGTGCTTTTTGCATGATTGCAAGTGTATTGTAAATATGAAAAGTTTTGTATACTAGCCAAGATGTTAATAATATTTTTTAAAATAAAAGGAATGTACCCTTTATTTTCATTCCACAGTCCTCATTTAATACTCCAAATGCCCCTTCTGTAGTTCTTTTTCATGTTTGATTTTGTTCTTTTCTGCCATTCCTTATGTTTTCAAACAGCAATAACTCAGAAGTGCACATTTGGAAATGTGATCAAAATTGAAGTATTTTCTAACCTCAAATTTACTTGAATTAATTTAATTCCACTTGCTACAATAATTATTTGGGACTTCACAAAATTGCAAACCTGTCATTCATATGAGCACAGCCATAAGCAAGATCAATATTTGAAAATCTACAAGGTATTATTGCAGGTCATGTAGTAGATAAGGAAAAATGACATTTAATTAGCCCCTCTTTTACAGGCCTCCTTCAAACCACAAGTTGAATTTAATTACTGGATCCCCTTTCTAGTTTTAAGCTCTGATCCTTCCCAGGTTAGTAATCTTTACATTTAAAAATTCAGGCATAGCACAAAAGTGCCACCTGCTGTTCATATTATTGTATGGCACTTGGATTAAACATACTGTGCAGCTTGGTTATAAAAAGTGGAACTCTCTTGGTGCAATTGCTCCAAAGTATAAGAAAGTACATAGAAGGGGAATTGATTTGAATCATTAAAGCAATAACATTTTTTAAATGGCATGATTTATTTTAACCAAAAAACTTTCTCTAAATCCTATTGATTAAATCTTCATGGTACATTTTTAATCTTTCTATGTTTCTGCTCTTGTGGCTCTTGCCACTCTTTAGGCACTCTTCTTCTGTGTCTGAGATTATTTTAGTTACCTTTACTTTGCTTTCTTGCTTCAAGACTCTCTCCCTGCCTGTCTATCCTGCTTACTGTCAACAAATATGTAAGAATCACTAGAGCAGCTTGTTAAAATTACAGATTTTGGGGCCCCACTCCAGAGGTTTTGATTTAGAAAGTCTGGTGTGAATACTAGAAATCTGTGTTTTTAAACAAGATGTCTAGGTGATTATAAAATACATCAATATTTGGGAACCACTGGACATATCATGCATTTAAAGTGCTTTCAAAATGCACTTTAAGTGTACTTTAAAATACCTCAAACCAAGTCTTATTTCCTGTCTACCCAGACGTCTCCCCTGGGCCAGTACTTAAGCAATCAGAGTTAACAATGCACAGCCATACTTTGGAGGCACTGCCAGAACTGTTCCTGTAGTTGTGAATGTTTTGCTACTCTCTCCCTCCCACTACCACACAAAGAAACCTATCTCTGAACTTGGAAAGATACCCTTACTTCAAACTATCTTCCTCTGAACATGTTTCACTATTACAAAAACATAATTTAATATTTCTTCCTTTGGGTTTCTATAGTGTGTTCCTTAGTGTTCTACTTGGCAGTATTTTGTATTGCTGCATTACATCTGTTATGCTTATGTGTCTACCAGTCCTCATTGAAGAAAGATTGACAAAGACAAGAACCACAATATATTCATTTTGGTATCATTCTTCAGCCATTATAATCGCAGACAGATTATGATTACAGCAGAGGCACAATAAATGTTTTCTGTGTTGATTGAGAATCTACAGTGTTGATAGCAAACTCCGTACTCACTGAAGAGACCTATAAAAGAAATAAAAACATGATTATTGTCCTCAGTAGTTTAAATTATTTTAATTTGTTTTTAGTGGTTGATGGACTTTTATCTTTATTTATATGTGGTGCTGAGAATTGAACTTGGTGCCTCACATGTGCTAGGTAAGCACTCTACCACTGAGCCACAACCCCAGCCCTCAATAGTTTAAATTCTAATTGGGGAGACAGGATTCACTACATGAAACAATGAAAACCAATCAATGGAAAAACTAAGCTACGTAAAGCAGGAAGTCCATAGGAATGATGTAGATATCCACAGCAATAACATTATTGTATTTAATCCATTAAAGTGCAGATTTCTGGGTTCTACTCCGAGTTTCTGTTTCAGTAGGATTCAAAAATTGGCACTTAAAACAAGTAAAAGTTATGAAAAGTCCAAGTACCTCGGTTCTAGATGCTTATGCTACTGGTAAACCATCCTGGGATACCAATCAAAAGCAGGGAGGAGAAAAGACAAACTAGTATTTTTCAGGGGATGGGGGAATGAAGGTTATTGCTTAATGGGTATGAAGCTTCGGTTTGTGAAGATGAAAACAATTTGTAGGTAGATGGTGGTGGTTGTAAAAAGTATGAATATATTTAATGTCTTGGAAGTATACTCATAAAATGGTTAAATGGTAAGTGCTGTGTTATGTGTATTTTACTATCATAAAATAGGGGAGGTATTGAAAGGGATGATAGCACATGAATAAAACTGGTATTTATGGGACAAATTCAGTACAAC